CAGGATTGTGTTTGCATTTTCATTTTGGCGAGCAAACAGGCAGTACTCACTACAATTTAGGAGATGGACATGGATGCAGCACAAGGCCCTCTGCCTTTGACTCCAGCGTGTCCCCTGACCTCCCTCGGCCTGCCCGAGAACAGCCCTCGACGCAAACGCACCATCGTTCTGCTTAAAGCTTTTTTATCGGTTTTGGTTTATCGCCCAAGAGAGTGAGGTATTTGAGGAACTGTCTCTGTTCCGCGCCCGGCCAGACACAAGACAACGAGAAACAAAAGCGGAAAAGGAGGAAGGGAAGTCGAGCAGGGAGCTAGAGAGAGAAAGATGGAGAACAGCATCGACGCGGTTCTGCTAAGCTACATGTTTCTTTTCCAGTCCTCCACGTCCCCTCCGCCTCCCCTTTCTTCATAGCACCCCTCCGCACTGTTCTGGTCTCTTCCAGTTTTTAGTTATTTTTTGGTTTTGTAGCTGTTTAAAGCTTTCAGGTCAGGGCTCTGAGCAGCACTGCGTCCGACGCGTCAACCACAACAAGACAGTTCACTTCTCAGTAAATTCAAGGACACTGAAACATGAATTTGACCAAAAGTAAGCAAAAAAAGCAGAAGGGTGTGCTGGTTTCCTACAGCAGCAGGTCTAGATCAAGAACACTCTTTATACGGATTATAATGCTTGTACTCTTTTGCTTTACAGAGGTGAGAAAAAAGCCGTTCGTCTGACGTAGTGCTGCTCTTCACCCTGATTGGTTTAAACCCTCCACAGGCTCCGCCCACAGAGGAGCATTAGAGGATCAAAAAGGGACGAGAGTCTGCCCCCGCGACGTCACCGGCCTCTCAGGACCAATGGCTGCATTCTTCTACGGATTTGGTTTTGCGAAAGGTTGCCTTGGCGACGTAGAATTAAACACACTGGCACAACCCGACGCCTCGAACGTAAACCTGGCGTACAAGAGGAACCGAGCCGATCTTTCAAGAAGTCCTGCAGAATTTAAAGTCATTCAGAGCTGTTGGACGCGAAATGCGTCGCTGTAGAGAAAGCGAATCATGGTGGTGGTGATGGGAACCAGACGTCCGAAACGTCTAATGCTCGAGTTACAGCATGAACCAATTCCGAATATGCTGCCTGATGACTCAGACGTCGTTTTCGAAAGGATTTCTTACATACATTCATGGCGGAGAGGTACATGCAGGGTGTTATAAGGCAAAATAGTACCCACTAGTCGTTATGGATAGTAAGTAGAATGGCTATCATTGCAATGCGAACCCTGATTCCTATCACCACTGTAGAGAAATCAGTTTTCCACAGAGAAACTCTGAACGACATTCCGTTTACATCTCAACTATCGTCGATTATGCAGACGTTCTGAAAAATCGGTGACCGTCCTCTTTGAAATGCATTCGGGATCAAATAAATAAAATAAATTAAACCACAAAAATGTATGTGGGGGGAGGGGTTGGAAACACAAAATCCAAAAGAGATAGTAAGAAACGTTTTTGGTCTAAAATTAAGTATCTGCAACATTTTTTTTTTTCACTTTTCTCTTTTTTCTATACATTAGCAATAAGTAAGCAGTATAACATAGATGATTTACTACAAAATCTATAGAAGCACTAACTGATCCATTCCATCTAAACGGCAATGCGGACAGCTGCTTCCGCGTAATCTGACCACCTACACTGGACCATCGTCTATGTCATGGGGGGGGTGGTCCAGTGGGGGTAGTTGTGGGGGATCTTTGGGTGTGCAAGTGTTGTGTGTCTTTACATGAGCATATTTACTATTTGGTTTCGATTTAAAGCTTAAAAAACTGTTCGGCTTTGGCTTGTTGTGTCTGTGTACGTGTTTGTCCTAGTTTCTCTGTTTAGATGAATGTTCACAGTATTTTTCCAACATCCTGATAGAGTCTCTAGCACAACTAGGAACACTTAAAATGAAAGGAAAGGACAATTTCCATAATAATCAAATATCCAAATGATAGCACGCGAACGGAAAAACGGAAAAAGGGAACAGCGCCTTACACACGCAGAAGAGAAAAACTCCCACGAAAAAAAAGCCAGACGGACGGAAAGAAATAAAGGAGTCGAAAAAGGAAGATAAAGAACATCCCACCCGAAACCAAACGAAAACAAACCCAGTCACATCTTCCATGAGGTCGTTAAAGATCCCGTCCCAAACCAAGGAGAGTTTGAGTTATAAGGAGGAAGAAGAGGGTGGAACCAACCCTCGCATACAGCGGGATGGAGGGATGGGAACACTTTTTGTCTTTCGCCTCCTCTTCCTCAACTCCTTCCAAATTTTGGCTTGGTAACTTTTTTCATTTTTGGTTTGCTTCTGTGAATCTGTGGACTTTTTGGTATCGGTTGGCTACGAAGTTTAGTCTTGTTTTTTTTTTTGTTTTTTTTTGCTTCATAAATGAAGTGCCTAGGATAAAGACAATGCCCCATCCTTAGAACTTCCCTCAGTGAAGTCCACTCCAGTGTGTAAGTATGGGTGGGGTGTGGTGGGGGGGTTGCATCCTCTCAGGTTGTTGGTTGTGTTCAGTGGGGTTTTTTCCGGGAAACTCCGGGAGTCGCTTTGGTATCCAAAAGGGAGTGAAAGAAGAATGAATGGGTGTAAAAAAGTGGACAAATGAGGGATGTTTGTAGTGGACATACAGCTGTGAGAGACACTTAGACACACAGGTATCCCAAGAGATGCAAATGACCTTAACGACACATGAATTACCTCATATAGAACAGAGAAAGAGTGAACGTCCCCTATCGTTTTATAGACAAACAGTGGGGAGCTATATGAATGTAGGGCTGCGCAATATATTGTTTGTTATGCATTATCATGATGTTGGCCTTTCCGATACTGGTATTGCAGTAGCAGTGGTGTAACTAAGTTCTCATTGGCCCTGTTGCAAAAAATGCTTGCCTCCAATGAACGGTAATGTAATGTTTGTAGGCTAAAAGCTGAACTATATTATGAAGATATTGTTGCCAAGCATGATTTTTTGTTTTCAAAAACTTATAAGAGGTATAAGGGGTCCAATAAAGACATAAGGGGGCTCGGCCGACCACAGGCCACTTGATACATGCACAGCCAGTAGTTACGTCACTGTGCAGAAGTCTGCAATACGCAAATGAGCCCTCTCACCATCACTATGTAAGCATCTTGACCAATCACAGTTGAGTGTTTCTGTGGGTGGTTTTTATGAATCATACTATTCATATAAACCAAGCAAAGTAGATTATTTCGGCAGGCTGTGTCATGTTTAGGCCCGCCCCTAAAAATAGTCACCTGAGGGCAATTATTTAAGCTGACCACATTTGTTTATTTGAGGTCTTAACAGTACCTTTAGAGGGCAGCGGTGAGTAATGTTTGTTTACTTGATGTTTGTTAATGTCACCTTTAGAGGGCAGTGGTGAGTAACGTTTGTTTATTGGATGTTTGTTAATAACACCTGTAGAGGGCGGCGGTGAGTGACGTTCGTTTATTTGATGTTTGTTAATATCACCTTTGGAAGGCAGCGGTGAGTAATGTTCGTTTATTTGATGTTTGTTAAGAACACCTGTAGAGGGCGGCAGTGAGTGATGTTTGTTTATTTGATGTTTGTTAATATCACCTTTAGAGGGCAGCGGTGAGTAACGTTTGTTTATTTGATGTTTGTTAACACCTGTAGAGGGCGGCAGTGAGTGACATTTGTTTATTTTATGTTTGTTAACACCTGTAGAGGGCGGCGGTGAGTGACATTTGTTTATTTTATGTTTGTTAACACCTGTAGAGGGCGGCGGTGAGTGACATTTGTTTATTTTATGTTTGTTAACACCTGTAGAGGGCAGCGGTGAGTGACATTTGTTTATTTTATGTTTGTTAACACCTGTAGAGGGCGGCGGTGAGTGATGTTTGTTTATTTGATGTTTGTTAACACCTGTAGAGGGCGGCAGTGAGTGATGTTTGTTTATCCGATGTTTGTTAATATCACCTGTAGAGGGCGGCGGTGAGTGACGTTTGTTTATTTGATGTTTGTTAACACCTGTAGAGGGCGGCGGTGAGTAATGTCTGCTTGTAGCCACATCATTGTACTAACTGCACTGTGTCCATATCGGGCAGCCCTGAGTGGAACAGCTAATGCAATTTTCTTTTCTTTCTCCAAGAAATGATGACACAACAATGATGATGTTGATGACCACATATAATGACACACCTGCTCAGACACATCTTAAAACAAAAAAAAGTTTTGAAATGAAGTGGACGCCTGTTGTTTGAAGAAGGAACGAAACAGAGAAAAGAAAGTAAAGAGGTAAAAAGGACAAAAGAAGACGTCTGTACAAAAATGACAGAACTAACAGAATTAGAAATAATTAGTAAACTGGCTAAAATAATGTACATTGTTACACGAGACAACATGAGAGGATGCCAGATGAACTGAAATGATGGAGCAGGAGATGGCTGGATCGGCTGGGTGGGTCTGGCGTTGGACGCTGAGCTATTTACAGGTCCGCTGGATAAAGCTTTTCCTTCCGTATTTTTGGTTTTTTGGTTTTTCTTTTTTGGTATTTGAGATTTTGGTATGGTTGTCTTTTTTTTGTCACTGGGAGTCTTTTAAAGTTCACCTCTACGTTATTTTTGGTTTAAAGTACTCCAGGCTTGTCCAAGCTTCAGTCCTACTGCTTCAGCCACACACAATCAAGAGTTGTCTTTTGTTATTTTTGGCTCAAGGATCATTAAGGATCAGGATAATTCAGCTTTTTCCCCTCATCTTCCTCCAGTCCCTGCTTCTCAATGTCTGTAATCCTTTCTTTTCTTTCTTTACGCTCTCCGGAGCGGAAAAATACAACGCTCGGCCCCGTTCCGCTAAACCTCCTGGCAGATTTTTTGGTTTCATGCGTCCCTCTTCTTCTCTTCTTCCCGTCTCGGCTTCCGTCTCTTCATCCCTCCCCTCTTCCACGTTGTTTACTATTTGGCATTAGGAGAGTGGGAGAGAGGAAGGGAGAGAGAACCACAGGCAGAAAGTGAAGGAAGAGAGAGAGAGACAGAGATGCTTTGGTTGAGAGGAGGAGGAGGAGGAGGAGCTTTCAGTTCCTCTTCCTGTTCCTGTGATTGGTTTTCCTGGAAGTGTCACTCGATCTTGGCCCCGCCCATCAAATGGGGGCTGTGTAGCAAGTCGCTGGAAGAGCAGGAGGAGGCGGGGCTGGAGCAGGGGGAGGGGCTCATGCCGCCTGAAAATACAGACTTGTTGGGGATGGCCGAGTTACCCAGTCCCATGCTGGTCGCCATTGGCAACAGGGAGGGGTGGTTTAGGAAGAGGGAAGATGGGAGTCCTGACCGCTGACCTCCAGAACCACCAATCAGCACCTTGGTGCCACCTTCAAGACTGGAAATGGGGGGTTGGCCACCACTGGCTGCCAGAGCTGAGGGACAGAGCAGAAAAGATGAGTTATACCCCCACCGTCCACTGTAGACCACCCTTTAGCCCACCCCACTGTAGCCCATGTCAAGACACAAAGCACAGTTGAATTTAATGTAGAATGAAGAAGCTGCGAAGACAGTGGTGTAGCCACATCTTCACGCTTTATCCACTGCTATTTCCTAACTGGTCAGAGAGTGAGAAACGTGGTGGACAAAGAACCCAGCTGCGTAAATAAGGTCCTGACCACACCATTTAAAAGGCCCATATCTTATATTTTCTCTCTTCCTCCTCTAAAATTAACCTGAAGGCTGTTTTTTGGTACTGTGTCTGTATTTTTAAATGTCCTCTCTTCTGATTGGCTGCACTGAATTCTGCCTCGTTTAAAAAAGCAGGCCAGGCTGAAACACTCCTTATAACGTCTGCTTGAAAGGGCGGGGCTAAACTGCTGTAGGCTAAATAGGTGGATATACAAAAATGCATTGGTTTCCGTGAATTCAAAAGCACTGCTGGTTTCCACACAGCTCAGATTCCATAAATGGACTGGTTACATGGAACGTTTTGAAAATTTAACATTGTTTTATACTCTTTTATTCCCAAAACATTAGGAAAATGTGGTTTTCCATGATATGGGGCCCTCAAAAAAGTCCACAAGTGGTGCTTTCTAGCTTTTAGAAGAAACTGAGAACAAGAATCATGTAGTTTGTAAAGCCATGAGCTTTTGGGATGCTTGATATTTACACTCAGCGCCCTCTTGTGGATTTAGGGGACACAACACTGACTTCTGGCGAACTCTGTTCATTACTGCAGTCATCTTGAAAAAGAATGTATTTGAGAAAGAATACAAATATATTCGAACATTAGTTCATGTGTGACTGATGCTTTACGGCTCATAATGGGTCAAAGAATCATTTGCATAGATTTCTGTAGTAATGTATAAGAATAATGTTAATAATTCCTTAAAAACAAAAGTTTTTTGTGTTGTACAATCTTTTTTTCTATTAACACTAAATGTTGTTTGGACTGTCAGGTCTATAAAAAAGCCCAAATAGATCTGGATTTGATTATAAGGCCTTGTAAAGAATGCTATAAGTTACTTCTTTCGTTGGTTTTTACTCATTGTTAATATGCATTTGTTTCACTTGCTTCATTATTCTCTTTTCAGGAGTACAAGACAGATTTTAATTTGAACTCTAAATCCACCTCAAACTAATAGATCTGATTGCAGAAATAAAAAGGTTTCAAAGACAATCTATGATTAAAGCCAATCAGGAGTAGATGCTGGAAAACTACGCTGCTCCTTCGGCACAAACCAGCTCGCCTGATCGGAAATGCGCTCTACAATCTGAATTTGAAAATAGATGATCCAAAACAACTGGAAAAGAGATTTCTTTGCCCAAAATTGAAGGAATACTTTAAAAACTAAATGCTAGGAGGCAAAGGTTAGCCTGCCAGTTACATTCTAAAAATCTGTATCTCATCCAACTTAGAAGGGTTCATACACTTTGACTATTTTCAAATTCCAGGACTTTATGACTTATTCAGAACCAACCAAACAAAAATCCAGGACTATGTACTCCAGTACTGAATATCAAAAAATAAAAAGAGTAATACGCTGATGATTTTGGATTAATAACGGCTCGCAAAGATCAAAAGAGAAGTATGTTCTAACGAGGCTACACAGCACTGCTAGAGGATACTAGAGGAACATTTAACGCCACATATTAATCTGCATTAATATCGCATATGAAAACATTGATGATGGTACTGAAACACCAGCAGTAGCCCTGAGCAAACATGAGCGCTACTGCTGGTGGCTAATCCACTGGTTCCTGAAGTGGATGTGGTTGCAGATGTGGTGTGGTTGTGAGCTGTGAAGTTCCCGCAAATGGTCAGAAAAATCTCAACAGAACTGATCTTCTTTGCATTTCTTCAGTTCTCACTTTTTGGGCCTCTTCATGTGGCTTTTCAAGGCAGACCTAACACTTCCCGTGTCAAATGTCTTCAGTTCATGCAGTAATGGCACGTGCTCATTTGCTTTGTCTTGCTGAAGCCAGTCTTCATAGTTGTCATTTTCCAGCCACCACGTATTAAACTGATAAAACTGTGACTGATATTTAGGCCCAGTCCCATTTCACCCCTCACCTCTACCACTTAGCCGTTTGGCACACTCACTCCGAGGGGGTAGGGTGTCCCGACTGTTGTTGAGATAGAGGGATAGAGAATTTTCTCTGTTAAAAATTACAATAACCACTGTATTATCTTAGTTTAATGTCCTTTCAGTGTATTATGGTCCTTTTCTTCTCAACACACATAAAATCACTACTAGTATGCTGATGTCTCAGTAACTAGCTTGCTAAATTTTCCGTTACACCTTAAATGGTGCAGCAGTTACATTCTGGTGCCTCAGGTGTCAAAACTGCTGCTCCATTTAAGGTGGAATGGGAAAATTCGAACAAGAAACTAGCAAATATCTGACTTCAGCTTCATATCACTGAAGAATTAGGGTGGGTGATAATAAATAATTGCCCCCCTCTTTGAAGGCATATGATGCCCTAAATGTAACTAAAGCCCAGCAGTGAGGAGCTGAACTTTACCCTCCTCTGCTGTCACTGCAGACTGGCAGGGTCGCCTACAGAGCAGCGCTAGTAGCTGTTAATGAAGTAATGTTCTTTTTATATGAGGGTCCCATTTCATAGAGGAAGATTTCAACCACTACAACGTAACTCAGCAAAGTGACACTCACAAAAAAGGGGGTGTGCTCACTGCTCCTATGAAAAATCAAGGCCATTATCAAAGTTTGTGTTTACATCATGAAATAAAAATGACTAAAGAAGCCCATATAATATTGTCCATGTCTTTTAAGTATGTTTTTCGGTTTTAGGTCTGGATTTAGCCACACTTATTTTCCATCGACCTGTATGAAACCTGGCCAGGCAGCATGAAAGTTTGCATGACTGTGTACTACATTATTGTAGAGGAAACTAGAACTGGAAGCTAGAACTGAAAGTATGACAAACTGTGTGACACAAAGTGTCATAAGTTATTATTAGCTGTGCCTCGTGAGGGAGGAGCTTTCACAGCGGATCACAAAAGCAATACAATGCATATAGTATGCACCAATCAGAAATAACATTATGACCACCTCCTTGTTTCTACGCTCATTGTCCATTTTAGCAGCTCCACTTACTATATAGGTGCACTGCCGTGTCTGATCCACTCGTACCAGCACAACACACACTAACACACCACCACCACGTCAGTGTCACTGCAGTGCTGAGAATGACCCACCACCCAAATAGTACCTGCTCTGTGAGGGTCCATGGGGGGTCCTGACCACTGAAGAACAGGGTAAAAGGGGGCTAACAAAGTATGCAGAGAAACAGATGGACTACAGTCTGTAACTGTAGAACTACAAAGTGCACCTATATAGTAAGTGGAGCTGATAAAATGGACAATGAGCGTAGAAACGAGGAGGCGGTCATAATGCTATGCCTGATCGGTGTATATGAGAAGATGAAGAACAGGTCAAAAGAAAAGCACTGAGATAAAACACTGGCACACATGCACAAACACGCAAAGCACAGCACGCCACATCGGCACATGGCTGGGATGGGATGAGGGGATGTTCACTTTTAGACAAAATCAGTTTTATATTCCTTTTTTGTCATTCCTCTCCCACACACCTTGGATCGTGGCGATTGGGTTGTTGACACGGAGAGTTTGGTTCATTCCTGCGTTAACTCCAATCACTGTATTCCTGGGTCACGCAAGCACACAGGCGCACAAACACACATAAACACACATATAAACATACAACAGCAGAAGAAACAGAAAGAGGAGGAGAGGAGAGAGGGAGGGGAAATACGGGAAAACATGAAGAAGTGCAGAGGCAGGAATTCACACACTGCAAAAAATAGTATCTTGTCAAGTGAAATGATCTTAAATCTAGTCGATGTATCTAATATTTCCCATTTTGAGATGGTTGTGCACTTATTATAAGATTATCTAACTTATTTCTAGACATTATTTGCTTGTTTTAGGTATTTTTATTAAGATTTAAAATTTTCTCACTTTACTGGCAGATAATTTTGCTGGTTTCTAGCTCATTTCTTAAAACAAGCACAATTATCTGCCAATATAGTGATATAATTTTACTTAATAAAATGACCTAAAACAAGCAGAAATGTCTATAAATAAGCTAAATAATCTAAAGTTAAGCTTACAACAATCTCAACAGTAGAAATATTACTGGGAGATTCACTCGAAAGAGGCCCTGAATATTCTGTAATAACTCTCGCTAGGACGAAGCAATCTGAACAAAACAGCGTGCAATGTGCTCCTCAGTATATGGAGCTTTGAACAAGCCAGGATGCCCCTGCGTCGGCATGATGAGGTAGGCGTCTGACAGCCGTTGCGACGTTTAACCTCTGTTTGCAACTTCCGGGTGCATACCCCCCGTACCCCTTCATGTGTCTGGCACAAAACGGAGATCACTTCCAGCATCGCATGTAATGCAATGGATCACACACATACATCAAGGTACGTAGCATATTTTTTGGTTCAGATTGCTTCATCCTAACGGGAGTTACAACAGAATATTTGGGGCCTCTTTCGAGTGAATCTCCCTGTATATTAATTGACTATATTTAAAATGATTTTACTTGACAAGATACCATTTTTTGCAGTGCAGTGACACAAAATAAACCTAAAGTTACGCTGGGCCTGTTTTGTTTTTGTTAATTGGATAATAAAAGCTGGATTTAGGTAGAAATGATGTTATTTCTGTCTGTTAGCCTGAAGTTCAAGTGTGCTTCATTTACCCCATTATGGGTGAACTCATTAGAGGTGTTCAGTCAGAACCGGCCTACATCATAGTCTGCCAGATTTTTTTGGATTTTTTCCCAATTTTCTCCCCAATTTAGTCGTATCCAATTCCACCCACTAGTTAGGACCCCCCTAATCATGCGATACCACCAGCGCTAGGAGGGTGAAGGCTAGCACAGGCTTCCTCTGGGTCATGTGAGGCGCCACCGCATCTTTTCAAACTAACACTAATGCAACGTCATTGGACAGACTGAACACGCTTGGAGGAGAACACTAATTCCACCAGTTCTGTTACGCCAGCTAACAGACGCCTGCGCTGACTAGCATTGCGCTGAGTGATGGGGGAGACAGAGGGGCCATCCTACCCACCCAGAGAGCGAGGCCAATTGTGCTCTCTTGGACTCCCGGCCTCGGACGGCTGTAGCATCACCAGAGATCCAACTCGCGAGTCAATTTTTGCTCCAAACAGTCAATCGCCAACTGGCCAATTTATATTGTGATTGTGGCCGATTTGTGTTTGCAGTATTATGAGGTAAATGATATGAGGCAGGTAAACGTTTTCAAATTTAAATATGTTTCTGTTCATGAATGCTGCTGCTACACTGCAAAAAATGCTATCTTGTCAAGTGAAATGATCTTAAATCTAGTCGATGTATCAAATATTTCCCATTTTGAGATGGTTGTGCACTTATTATAAGATAATCTATCTTATTTCTAGACCTTTTTTACTTGTTTTGGGTCATTTCATTAAGTAAAATTCTCACTTTACTGGCAGATCATTTTGCTGGTTTCAGGCACATTTCTTACAACAAGCACAATTATCTGCCAATATGGTGAGATAATTTTACTTAATAGAATTACTTGAAACAACAGGAGAAATATTAGATTTATTGACTATATTTAAGATAATTTTATTTGACAAGATACCATTTTTTGCAGTGTAAACTTGCACCAAAATGTGAAAGCATAATTATACATAAATTATACATAAACAATACACATTTATATATAAACTGACTAAATAGCCAGTTGCCCCTTTCTTTAAAAAGGCAATATATTTTTAGTTAAAATTGAATTTAATATGCCAGTTTGACCGATTAAGAAGCAAATATTGAGTGGGAATGTGTTAGTGTTCACTTAGCGCACACAGTGTGAGCTTCAGTTATTTAAAAAACAAAAAAATCAAAATGCATATTTTGCATCCCTTAAAAACAGCTCATTTTAAAGTTTAGTAGTTAGTAGTGGAATGGTAACATAAAGGTATTTATATGTTTAGACTTTTTGGCAAAAAAACAATATTCTCAGGCAATTTTCAATCGTGAAAATGTGAAATTTAAGTTTTCATTATACACCGAATCACTTCCTAAAGAACCGTAACAGAATGCAAGAAGGGAGATGATCATAATCAAATGGAGGAAGATATAACTTCATTTCTCCTTTAAGACTTTGTTGTTTTTTGATGTGGAAGGAAAGTGCAGAACTACGCCATCTGTTGGTTGCATTCAAAGCATTTTGAATCACCATTTATTTTGCCATAAAGAAATTTTTGATTGATTAAAAGTCACTTAAAGCTGCAACTGTAAAGCTGAACTACAAAAAAGAATACTTAGTGTTCATTTTATTAAGTAAACTTAGTTTCAATTATATTTCCCAAGTATACTTTATATAGTAAGTATACTTACATCAGTGTTCTAGTAGTACTTATAAGTATACCATTTCAGTACTTTTTTTGGACTAAATTGCCCACTTTTTAGTTTATAGAAGTACTTTTTTTAGAAGTAGTTTTTTTGGACTATATTGTGAAATATGCTATAAGTGAACTTATAGGTACTGGTTATACACTTCTAGCCCACTTTTCAGTTTATGAAAGTATATTTAATATTATATATATTATATTTATATTATATAAGTATAATTACAAGAACAGGCCACAATAATATATGTAAGTATATACAAGTATGTGTGTATACAAGTATATGTATTCACACAAGTACTAAGTACAAATATACTTAAACTTTTCTGCATACTTGTCAGTACAAGTCAATTATACTTATGTATAATTTTGTCTAATATATCTTTAATATATCTTTATCTTTAATATATAAGTACATAAAAGGTAAACTTATAAAATTATATTCGGTTTAAAAGAAGTTTACTAATAGCACATTTGAATAAGCTTCTTTTTTTTAACTTGGTGCCACTTTATAGGATGCATAAAAGTGACATCATCTGAGCGACACACACCGTAGGGCGTTTTGTAAGACCCTTGTGCTGTCAATAAACAGTGTGGATCACTGATATAACATGGTATGTTATGCTGCACAACCTGTGATGTGCATCACATTGTTAAGCCAGGCTTTGAACGCAACAAGCAGGGGGCGATCTGACCACTCTGTTTTCCAATTCCTTGCAAAGCTGGAAAGCTATTGTGTATTTTGGCTTGTAAGTCAGTTACTCTTCCTTGATCTCTGTGCATCTATCTACTGCTGGAACACCTTTTAACATAGTGTGTGTGTGTGTGTGTGTGTGTGTGTGTGTTTAAGCATACAGTCTTTCCGGATCGTATTCACCTCAAATTTGCTGCAAAATCGGTGATGTAGTTAGACACGTCACCGTTCTTGTTACGCCACGAACTGTTGACGAGAAAGTCACAAACACACACACACAGACACAGCATTAGCTATCAGCACTGGCCTCCAGCCAACAGGGGGCTCTGACCTCGTTCATTTACGTACGCAATCACAAGTGCATGTCAGAATGAGCTTATTTCAAATATATATATAAATATATACACACACAAAGCCGATATATATATATATATATATATATATATATATATATATATATATATCAGGCTTTGTGTGTTTTACAGCGTGTATGTACAGTGTTGCACAGTGTGTATGTGTGTGAATGAGTGGTTGGCTCTGGTCCAGTGACAGGTTGTGTTGTAAAAATAAGTTATAATAATAATGGTAACTATGTTAATAATAAGATTATTTTTCCTATTTTTAGATATTTTTACTTATTTTATGTAATTTAATCATGCAAAATGATCTCACAATATTGGCAGATTGGCTCATTTCTGTCATATTTCTTACAAAAAGCAAACGTATCTGCCAACATAGTGAGATAATCTGACTTATTTTTTCTAAATATGTTACCCACTGTAAAAATTTTAATTTGCGCCCTAAAATGTGCAGAAAAAATTCCACGTTTAAGTTTCTTCCCTGTGAGGTTAGCTAAGGTTAGCTGTGTTAACTTATTTTCACTTACAAAAACACCAAAATATGTCATTTGACTGGAGATATTCAAACTTATGCATATGACTGTAGGTTTGTATTATTTAATATCTGTGTGCCCCTTTACATATGCACTAGACCAATATTATATGGCCAATAAAAATGATATTTGACTTGATATAAGTCAGTAAAGCAGTGGTTAACTAAACTTGCTGCGATCTGTTTAGTTTTTTAGCATATAAAATTGTATCAGTTTGTATTATAGGTTGGAGTGCATGATGATACCTGTATTATATTTGTACCAACAGGTAATTTCTAAAAGAACTGATTTTTGGACCGATATTTGATGACGCATTAATTGTACTCAGGAGTAGCCGAGTTCAGTTTATTCATTTTACTGCATGCGTAACCCTATAGAAATACAAGCTATATTTCTCTGCACTGCAAAAAATGGTATTTTGTCAAGTGAAATGATCTTAAATCTAGTCGATAAATCTGATATTTCCCTTTTTGAGATGGTTGTGCACTTAATATAATACTAGCTTATTTACTAGACATGATTAACTTGTTTTAGGTAATTTTATCAAATTTTAATTTTAAGTAAAATGATCTCACTATACTGGCAGATAACTTTGCTGGTTTCTTACAACAAGCAGAATTACCTGCCAATATAGTGAGATAAATTTACTTGATAAAATTACTTAAAACAAAATGTCAAGATGTACAAAATGTCTAGAAATAATGTAAATAATCTCACAACAATCTCAACAGGAGAACTATTAGATTTATTGACTATATTTCAGATCATTCTAATTGACAAGATACCATTTTTTGCTGTGTGTAACGCTATTCAAGGTTGATTTAGTCCCAAGTTTCTATATTTTGTATTTTTATGTATCAGCATTGGCAAATATGTCCAAATACCAGACCTGCCTGATACTGTCATTTTTTGGCCCTGGTATGTAAATATATGTGATCGTGAGTATGAGATTGTGTTGCTGTGTATGTTTGAGAGCCTGTTTTTTATGGTTATGTGTGCGAATCTCACCCTGTGTTCAGATTTATCGTGCTGTGACTGGCAGGGACCGGGCTGGCGTCACTGCGTGGAGATGGAGCTACAGGAGAAGGGGTGGAGCTTGAGGAGGGACCAGTGGGAGTCAAAGGACAAACGGAGGACATGGTGGTCACTGGGAAGAGACGGAGACACAAATCAGAGGCTTCACTAACAACTGCAGGTGTGTCACAGATCCAGGGTTAAACTAAAGAAGAAAACTTCAGACACCAAACATGTCTTTTTTAACTGCGTCTGGGGAACTGCAAAAATGCTTTCTTGGCAAGTGAAATAATCCCAAATCTAGACAATATATTAAATATTTTCATTCTGAGATTGTTGTAAGCTTATTATAAGATTATTTAACTTTACTCGTTGAAAGTGATTTTTAAGTGAGCAAGTCACACTGTAGTCAGATAATGTGACTTACGTACTTAGAAATCACTTTAAACAAGTAAAAAATGTCTAGAAATAAGTTAAATAATCATCATTTGGCTTGTTTCAAGCATATTTCAGAGATAATCTGACTAAAATCACTTAAAACAATTAAAAATGACTGGAAATAAGAGAAATACTTATAATAAGCTTACAACAATCTCAGTATGAGATATATTAGATATATTGACTAGACTTAAGATCATTTCATTTACCAAGATTAAGTGGTTAAGGGGGGAGTTTTCTAGGTTTGATTTGTGGATGAACCATTGGTTTAAGAAAGAAACTTTGCTGCTCCAGTAGTGTCTCTTACCGGCTGTGCTGAGACTGGTCACGGCTGGGGACGGTCCCTGACTCTGCATCTGGGGAGAAAGAGAGAGAGATAGGAGAAAGATGGTAGCGAGAGAGGATCTGTGTCACAACTGTAAGATTTTCAACTACAGTCATATGCAAATTTGTCATTTTTAACCTGTGGTTAAAAAATAAGTGAAAGTAAGTTAAAAGGAAACTCCACCAATATTTCAAAAATTCCATATTATTAAAAGGTTGAGATGTAAACAGAGTCATTCAAGGTGGTTTGGTGTGAAATGCTCCGTTCTAGAGTGTCAGAACTGTTCACAGTGGTGGCGATAGGAACCAGACGTCCACCTCTAAAAGCTCCCCCACAGAGAGTTATGACATGAAATGGTACTGAATTCACTGTCTGATGTCTGAGACACTGTTTTGTGATGAGGTTTTGTGGTCAATGTATTTGAATCCTTTTACTTTAATCCATTCCTGGCAATATAGTCCCCAAAGAAAACCTATTTTTTCAGATTTCTATTTTATCATCATCACCATCACGTATAAACACTCAGAAGACTCGTGTCGGTTCACTGGTGGTTTTGGACAGTAGATAAAATGTCTATATTTGTGTTGTAGTCATGGCGACCCCTGGTTCCTATCACCACCACTGTAAAGACATTTGAGTCTCTACAATCAACCATTTCACACCAAACCACCCTGAATGACTTTGTTTACATCTCAACCTCTGAAATTTTATTTGTGATGTAATGTGGCGAACGTTTGCATAAAAGTGTACGGTTAGAGAAGTTGGTCTGGACTTCACTCAGCGGCCACTTCATCAGATAAACGATGGACGTAGCCAAATGACCTATCAACGTCCATCAGAGATGTTTATGAGTCACTTTATGTGAACCGTTCTTCAGGGGTTTCCTTGGTAAGGAAAATGGTTCTATATAGAACCACGAACACTCAAAGAACCATTTGAATGATTAAAGGGTTCTTTGCAGCATTAAACGGTTCTTCAGATTGATGGAGAATGTGTCTGATATGAAATAAAAATATGTAATGTTTCTGAAAATGGTTCTATATAGCACCAAAAAGGGTTCTTCTATTGCTACATGATTGACATCATAACAATAGAACCCTTTTTGGTGCTATATAGAACCATATAAAACTCATTCTCAGTCAATCTGAAGAACCAATACAAAAAACTCTCCAGTACATCCATACAAAATTCGAAATAAGAAACATATAAAATAAATATCATCTGAAATTACATACTCTAAATGTACATAGATACAATCTCTCAATAGGTTGTATGGAATGTTCGCCAGTGGACTGTAAACCAGCAGCTATGAAAGGACACACATTTGGGAGCGCAGCAGGGATAAGTGCACAGCGTAATGAGCTCTGATTAAACGATTTTCACCGTTACTCTTCCAGTATCTTCTTTTGTTGATTTCCTGAGGGAACAATGTGATTGCATGCAGGACACAAACTTAAATATGGCATTCCTCTTCAAATTTTAGTGCATAATTTTTATTAATTTGCTGAGTTTAACAGATCGGAAAAAAAAATAAAACATAAAACGTTCCATAACTCTTGCACAGGCAGGCCGCGCCGTTTTTCCAGCATGTTAAATTCAGCAAATAAACAGTAACTGTACATTAAAACGTGCAGAAGTGTGTTCTCTGTAGAGGATGTGAACTTATTTTCACTTATTTTTGACCAGGGCCACCTGCTTACAGCTGTATGCATCTATGTATGTGTGCTGCAAATAGTCAACTTTCAGCTTCACAGAATCCCTATTTGACACAAACAGGTTGTTCATGAAGGAGGTTAGTGGAAACTAACACAATACACAGTGAAGGGGAACTAGCGTCAGTCAACCTGCTCCTATGTAAAAGAACAAGGTGACACGTCATTTTGAGTGTTTCCTTTTAGATGAAACAAACAATGGACTCTCAGTAACGTCAATAACATATGAGGTTAGGGTTAGGTTTTGGGTTGAGGTTAAGGTTAAGTTTAGGATTAGGGCCAGGATAAGACATAGGGTTAGGTTTTGGGTTGAGGTTAAGGTTAAGGTTAGGATTAGGGCCAGGGTAAGGGTTAGGATTAGGTTTTGGGTTGAGGTTAGGGTTAGGGTTGGGATTAGCGCCAGGGTGAGGGTTAGGTTTTTGGGTTGAGGTTAAGGTTACGATTAGGATTAGGTTTTTGGGTTGAGGTTAGGGTTAGGGTTGGGATTAGCGCCAGGGTGAGGGTTAGGTTTTTGGGTTGAGGTTAAGGTTACGATTAGGATTAGGTTTTTGGGTTGAGGTTAAGGTCAGGGTTAGGATTAGGGCCAGGGTGAGGGTTAGGTTTTGGGTAAGGTTGGTAAGGTTAGGTTTTGCGTAATAGAAGTAACATATTAACAACACATCTACTTAATGTAAGTAATGTATCAACAGAACATCTACAAGATATTTACTTCAGTGTGTTCAGATGCTTCACTGCTGCTACTGCACTAATATGTTATTGATGTGTTACTGATAATCTGATAAGAGTTTATTAATCATCTACAAAGGACCACTCCAAATAGTCTTACCAAGAATAATGCCAAAAATACATGGACTGGAACCCACAGTACAAGGCATGCAGCCTACAATATACTCAAAAAGGTGCCCACTGAATTCACTCGGAAAGACATTGTGAACAGTAGCAACATAAAACTGGGGACTGTTGTGCTCCAGGATTTGGCAAAGAGGAGTAGGATTTGAAATAACTAAGCATTCTGGGGCAAGCGGTGCAGGATGGATTACACTACATGGAGGATTTAGGGGAAAGTCCTGCTGGAGGTGAGTTTAGGAGTCTAGGTCTGCTCATGCAGGAGAAACCATCACAGGGCTGTTAGGGTGGCAGGCTTTGTGGGTGTGAGGATCAGGCTGAGGGTCATACCATGTGTGGGCTGTAGCAGGGGGGTTTGTGCGAGGCGGGCTGGGGTTGGCTGGGCAGGGGAGGGGTGGCGTTGGAAGGGTTAATACGTTTTTCTTTCTGCCGGCGGTTGCAGAACCAGACACGGATCACCTCCTTCTCCATGTTGAGCTGCTCAGCGATCAGCAGGATCTCCTCTGAGGTAGGCTTCTGGTTCTGAGAACACAACACAACAACATCAGCACACCTCTGTTCTCAACATAGTCCCCATTTTTAGCATTATAGACGTCTCAAGCAGTATTCGAGCTGGATGTGTTTAACCAGGTGAGACTGTATTGTATGACACAATTATTACTGCCAGACTGCAGATTCATACTGGATTAAAATCATTCCACAATTATTACAGTCAGACTGTAAAACTACACACACTGCAGATTCATACTGGTTTGAAATCACTCCAAAATAGCATAATTGCTTTATTAACAGTAGGCGGATTGTGTTTGGACTTATTATAAGTCAAATTTATTTATAAAATAAAATGTATAAAACATGGTGGCCATGGTGTAAACTCCAGTAAAAACGAATCGAGCAACAACATTCAGATAAGACGTAAATAAAATATCAAATCATGATCAAAGGAAGTCAAAATATGTAGCAAAAGAATAAAACCATAATAAGACACTAAAATAAGCCACTACCCAAGACATAATAGCACAGACAACACAAAAATCACCACTGATGTTGCCCAAACACAGCGAATATATTTATTTCCTCACCGAGCTAAAGCTGCGCTCCAGAGCCACGCGCACGCTGGTTTCAATGCTGGTGCGTTTTTTCCGGCGGCGGGCAGGCAGACCCTCGAAGCCCGAGAGAGACGGAGAGGAGAGGGAGCTGGGGCTGGGTAAAGTGCTGTCCAACGACATGGTCTCTGTACAGAGCAGCAACCAACACTGCAGTTACCACCTTATCACCACACACTGTTTAGCATAAATGCTTTGGAACTTCGTAAGACTGAATATACTAATAATGCAATGGCATAAATGTCCAAATTAACTGTATATTATAAATTCCTACAGTCAGCTTTAGCCTTCATCGTAATGCATGAATGCTAATGCATCATCAGGAATGCAGAATAAGATATCAGTGTTACTGTTACCAGCATCGGTGAGCCACTTCTCCAGAAGAGGCTTGAGTTTGCACATGTTCTTAAAGCTGAGATTCAGCGCTTCAAAGCGGGAGATGGTGGTCTGACTGAAATCGTTCCCATACAGTTTACCCATTGCCAGCCCTACGTCACCCTGTACAGAGAGAGAGGGAGAGATTACTCAGGTTGCCATTACAGTAGATGTTTTTTCCACTTCTGAACGGCCAAATTAACACATTCCACCCATTTATGTTTTAGAAGCGGTCACTGATGTTTTAGAGGTGGTCACTGGTGGGGTGGGAGCTGACTGATAAGCAGTGCTGACAGAAAGAGGCAGGAAAAAACTCAGCTAAGGCTAAGAGCTAAGGCTAAGAGCTAACACCAGTCCCTCGACTTTGCTCAGACATCCTCTAAATGGGTGTCATTTCAGCTTCAGGTCACTAAAACCAAGCCTGCGCTGTGCTGTGTGGCGCGTCTGGCTTGCTAACTAAGATATTGTTAGCTTAGCCAAAACGCTACAGTCACAAACAGAACAGGACAGGTTTGATTTTGCCTTTCTGTCACTCCGACACCACTCACTCCATTTTGGCTCTCACAGACATCTGACATCATCATCATCTAAACTTCTGTCGCTGCTATATAGCCAAAATCAAACACTTTCTGTGGCGAGCAGAGCCATTATTATGCTAGCTAAGCTAATGCTAAGCAGCTCCTCGCTGCTTGTTTAACATTTAGCAATTGTGAGATAGATGGTTTAACATTTATCAAATAGTCGCTGCCAGAGTCGAACATGTTCTGTGGTGAGCAGATTAAGCCATTATCATGCTAGCTAAGTTAACGCTACGCAGCTCCTCTCTCCTTGTTAGCAGCACTGTTTAACATAGCCATGCACTGTGGGGTTTAGACAGGACAGTTCCTGCAAATTTCTTGGTTTATTTTTAACAAATGTGTATTTTTAACTACCTGTGTGAAGCCCAGCTTGATTCTTCTCTGCTTGAAGGTGCGGGCAAACTGTTCTAGCTCCTCCAGGTCGCTCGGCTCATCAGGGTGAGAGGTCACGGTGGTCACGGTGCCGGCACTGTTCTCCATGACCTTTTCTCTCTGCCACACAGCACACAGATCAAATAAGCCACTGTCAGCCTCACAGTAGTCCTAGTTATACCTTCATCTCCACATACAGGCCTGCAAAGCCTGGTACTTTCCTAGGGTGCCTTACCTGTGCTTGAAGTCCAAGTGGGGGGGGAGCCGCCAGGAGGCCCCCCTGGTTTTGCTGAGGTAGTGGAATCAGATTTGGTGTCGATAGCAGCCCTGAGGTAGAAGAGGACATTCGTTTCAATCACTTTACTTAGTTTAACCCTTAGAGGTAGCAGTTATTGCAGGTTAGGTGGCTCTTTACTTGAACCCTGCTGCATATCACTGACATAACCATGCCATAAACATGTCATGGCAGAGGTAATTTTCTGTCACGTTTATGGAACGGTTATGATGCTTATATAGTGTTTTATAATTTTGTATTAATTGTTCTCTGCAGAGATAGTGCCAAAAGTGAGGATTCAACTTTTTGTTGGAAATATTTTACTTGAACTTAATAAAAAATTATCGTTGTGCATACTTTTCCAATTTGGTGCATTGGTGAATTTTTATCTATATATTCAGGAGAGTTAGATAAATACCTATTTGGGGTTTTGCTACTTGTAAAGATGCCCTCAGTAGGCGTTGGCATCGTCCTGAATCTCCCACAACAGAAGCTAGGATAGATATAGTAGTAAGTATTTAATGTAAAGGAAAAAAATTATGTTTTCTTTTCTCCACAAATTAACAAATTTATCAACCCCTGGTCGAAATGGGTCACTTTTGTGTGACCCTTATGACCTGACTTTGTTGAAGTACTTAATAATTGAGCAAAGTCTGTTGTGCTTTGAGGGTAACTGTAAACATTTAACAAAATTTACCAATAGTCTCACGTCTCGCTACACACCATACACTTATCTATCTATCTATCTATCTATCTATCTATCTACATATTAATACCCACCCCCCCCACCCCCACCCCCGACATCCTAGCTGGAAAATGAAAGGAGACAACTGGAAGGGTCTGGTCAGATGATGATGACCATTATACTTCTTATTATAAATACTGTAAATGTTGCTATTATCACTCTTATTGTTACTATTATCTGTGTCCTTGTATAAGATATATATAAAATAGTTGAGCACACAAAATATTCACATTTTTGTTGATAACGTCATTTTTGACCAACAGAATGTAAATGTAATTCATTTTGTAGCTCACTACATCCGTAACATACTGTACACTGTTAGAAATAAAGGTTCTGTGCAGGTACATTTTTCATTCATCAAGGTACAAACAATGTAAAGGTTCCCTCAAAGGTACAACAGTGGTTTTAAGGTCTGATTGTGAACCTTAAATAAGTTTTTCCAGGTGAAAAGTTCGTATTTGTACCTTTTCATAACCGAATGTTTTAAAACAGAACAATAAAATAAGCCTGGAGACGAGACGGGGTACATGGAGTCAATATACTTTATGTATAATATAATATAATTTCAGTGGATTATGTTCCCTGACTAAGGGTACTGAGATGTACCCTTGAGGGAACCACCCTAGTGACAAGATGGGCACTGACCCAGTGATAGTTTACTACCTTTATTTCTGAGAGTGTAGTTATTTTTACAGTATAGTATAATATAGTTATATTTAAATAAATACGCAACATAAATCACATGTAAATGTATGAAACCAATTAAAGGAAAGATTAATGAGACAGGAGGGAGGTTTTACAGACTCTCCAGTTTATAACCAAGGACCCCACCTTGTTGCCCTTGCTGTGCCTGGGGCAAAAGGAACTGTGCAGGAGAGGACAAAGGATGCCCCGGAACGAGGACCAGCTGCTGCAGCTGCAACAACTGCTGGATGTCCTGCAAGAGACGTGGACAGAAGGTGAGAGTTTTAATGGGCAGAAGGTTAATGCAGTGGTTCCCAGTCCCAGCCCAGAGCACACTGTGCACCACACATTACTGTGTTTTTAACGGGAAGTGGTAATTCAGCCCAAAATCAAATGTACAGCTTGGTCTGCTGTGGTTGGTGATGCGTCACAACTCATAAACACGGTTAACATAGAACTTGTTTGAGTTTATCGCTTGTATTTATGACTTTTTTTAGCCGTTCGAGCACAGCTTCCTCGAGGCAGTGCACAAGTTTGCAAAAGGTAAAAGAAATAATTGAGTCATTTTTTTTAAAGGCCGGACTATAAAAATGTGTTTAACTGAACACTTACAACTATGCAAAGTATTTTCAAAAGCTTATGCTAAGCTATAGATAGTGTACACTGACTTTCCCACACTGGATTTGACATTTGAACCTTCACTGTCAAGTGGCCTATTCTATTCAAGCCTAACCCTGAATATTATTGGAGTATCCTGTTATCTGTATGCAGAGCTATTCAGGCTAGACCTAGTTAAACTGGACCTTTTACTCATATACAATGTTTATGTACTTAATTTGTAAACGTGAAGATTTCAGAGCGTTTGTAAGATCCTGCTGGTGTGGGTTTCCTCTTTTTCAGTAATGTACATAAAAGATACCTGAGTGCTCCCCCTTGTGGTGAACGTTCATACTGCTGAACACGGCTTTATGATAACCTGTGGATTATCGTTCAAATTGAGAGCTAAACACAAAGCTGAATCGTAAATTTTAAGGGAGTAATTTTTTTAGTTTACCGGATCGAAATCATTTTAAATGAGTAATCGTTACAGCCCTAGCTGTGATTGCCTGTACCTGGGCAGTGAGCTGGATTGGCTGAGAGAGGGTAAGCTGGTGAGGAGGGGGTGGGACTGGGGCAGCGCTTTGTTCCTGCGCGTGCTTTGATTGGCCCTGCAGCTGGGGTGGAGCTGCCTGCTGATTGGCCTGCTGTTGCTGCTGCGTTTGCTGCTGATTGGCTGCGTGAGCTGCATGTGTCTGCTGCACGGCAGCGGCCAGGAGCTGAGCCTGCTGCAGGAGGAGCTGCTGCTGAGCGGGCAGAAGAGCAGTCAGCTGGTATAGAGAGCAAGCAGAGAGAGAGAGAGAGAGAGAGGGAACCCAGGAAAAGGAGAAAAGTCAGGTAAGGAAAAAAAGTTGGAAATGAGGGGTGCAATAAAGCCAAAGCAGCTGCATAAACCATACATCATAGATATGCATTACTCACCCACACATACTGTTTCAGACTTGTTGATGTGGTTTAGGACACAGTGTGACTAAATATGAGCTATGAAAATGATCAAAACTACTATCGTGTACTGGCAGCCACTTTAGACAACAGGTCTTGTGCTGAATCCAGCTCCCTTTTATGCGCATGTATGTCATGAATGCAACAGATCACAATCCCAATTTCTGTTGTTTCTATTTCTAAAAAATTATGTTTAGCTTTAAAGTTCAAGATTAACTCTAACCCTAATGCTAGCCCCTCGAGTTTAGTTCACAGTGTCCTAAATCACTTCTACAAGTCTTGGAGTTTTGAGGATGTGCTGTTAAGTGTCTGTTGACTTCTAGTGTTTGTGAGCAACATTAGCCTCAATTTTTAAGTCCACCTCAAAAGCTTTGTTAAAGGGCAATTCAACAAATTTTTCAAAATTTCTGCCTAATTCAGATTCAGTCGTTAAGATGTAAAAAATACTCAGAGTGGTTTGACTTGAAATGCTTTGAGTCAGAACTGTTTACAATGGTGTTGATAGGAACCAGATGTCCACCTCTAAAAGCTCCCTCACAGAAAGTTATTACTCAAAATGGTTATGAATATTATTATATAGCATTATTTTATGATAGGTTTGAGAAAGTTTTGGTCCAAAACCTTTTTTTAATCCATTCATGGTAGAATAGTACATTCAGGGTGCTGTGAGGCAAAATAGTCCCCAAAGGAAGCTTACTTTTTCAGATCCTCCGCTATTTTAGCATCACGAGCATTACATGTAGGCTCACTGGTAAATCGGATAGTAAATAAAGTGGCTATATTTATGTTGTAGTCATGGCAACCCCTGGTTCCTATCACCACCACTGTAAAGAAATCTGAGTCTCTACAATCAACCATTTCACACCAAACCACTCTGAACCAACTTTGTTTACATCTCAACTATGGAGGACCAGATTTGCCAAGTTGAAAAATTAATTAAATTAAAAATAATTGACTTAATATATGAAGCTGAATTGCAAAGAATAATGATGATAAATCTAAAAATAAATATACATAACAATTAATATATTAATAAATAAAATCTTACATAAATTAATGTCTGCATTTATTTATGTCTGTTTAGTAATTTCCCCTTCTCACTAATTTTTGTATTCATTTTTTTTATTATTTATGTTTCTTTATTAACATTTTTTCTGTTTTTCTATTAATTTATTTTATTAATTTATTTCCATAACTATTCATTTCTATATTTATTTATTTCTCTGTTTATTTCTGTATTTCCTGGTCCTTATGCTAATAAAGGGGCTGTCAGTCAATGATGTCACAGCATCTTAACATTCCTATTGGTTGATCGATGTCAGATTGTGTAGATCGACTGTACATGTCTTGCTCCCTCAGCGGTAACTGAGGACCAGACAGTACAGTAGTGGCTTCTTACAGCAGCAGACAATCAGAGATCTGAGAGTCTCGGCTGAAAATGCAGGTCCAGATTGTTAACTCTACCGTATGAAGGCTGTTTGCTCCATTTTGCTGCCTCTGCTGATACAGAGTTTGACCCTGTAGTGTTCAGAACTTTGGAGGAGGTGATTCATTGTCTTTTTCTGTAAAATTCAGATCAAACCCAGACAGTTTTTTATTGATTAATTTACTGAGCCTTTTATTTTTTAATTTTATTTATTTTTCAATTTGGCAAATCTGGTCCTCCATACTCAACCACTAGACTAGACAGAAATTAAAATAGCTTTAAAGGGGAACCTGTGGAACTCCCCTTTAAAGCTATTTACCACATTGTGTTGTGTGTATGACACTGCTGTAGAGGTGACGTAAGTGACCAACAGACAAACATAGGTGACAAAGAGGTGACAAAGGTGACAAATGTCAGCAGTGTTTAAACTGTGGCTAATCTAGCTGCCTTTTACACACTTTTATCAGCACGTTTAAAGCTGAGAGAAAGGAGCAGCCCTAATCCGCCCATATTAGAGCAGCCTGAAATACGAAAGTAGCAATTCAAGTCACCAGAAAATATTAATTCAAATAAAAAGTAGTCCAAAACTTCACAGTGTGATTTTACTGTGATATTGTAAAGTAATAGGCAGCCCAGCCTAAATTTGACTGGTTTTATTAACTTTGAAGGGGAATTCCACTGATTTTACCCATTTTCATCTCAATTCTGTCTTTAAACAGTGCCTTGATGTGAAGCGGTTCATTTCAAAGAAACTTACTGCCTCAGATTTCTTTACAGTAATGATGAGAGGAAGCAGCTGCAACACAAATATAGCCATTTTATTTTTTTACTACCTAAAATGAACCGTGAACCTACACGCCTTCTTATCATTTCCTATTATCATGTTTATAAAGTTAAAATTGTCTTGACTGAAATCTTGTATAAGAATTATAGTACAACAACATCTCAGACATTACACAAAGGTTTCATAACCATTTTGTGAGATTTCATGTAGTAACTTTCTGTGAGGGAGCTTTTAGAGGTGGACGTCTGGTTCCTATCACCACCACTGTGAACAGTTCTGACTCTGAAAGTTTCTCTAGAACAGAGCGTTTCACACCAAACCACTCTGAACGACTCTGTTTACATCTTATCCATTTAATAATATAGAGAATTTGAAAAGTTGGTGGAATTCGTCTTTAATGCACTGAGTGATAAACTGTTGCTCTGCGAGTTGGGCAAGGATGAAGGACAGTGTGTGTATCTTACCCCTGCCAGCTGGCCTCCGGTCAGCATCAGCTGTGTGTGTGGGAGAGTGGTCTGAGTGGGCGTGGTCTGGACAGGAGCTGGGGACATCTCTCCACACTCTTCTACCTTAGCCTGAGAGAGAGAGAGAGAGAGAGAGAGAGAGAGAGATAGAGAAAGCTGTCTTCAAATCACATAGTCATGTTCTGTTTACGCTACTGTTCAAACGTTTGGAACCATTTGTCATATTAATACATTGTGCAATATATTAATTGTAGCATATTAATATATTGTACTTTCCCTCTCCTAAGGCTGGCGAGAATGAGTCAATGAAAGTGAAACCTTTGAAGGCCTCAGCGTGGGAGCTGGCGGCGCCACAAACCTGTGCCGGCGGGTAAACGGATGCCAGCCGGGAGGTTCAGAGGAGACCGCAGGCTGTGAGTTAAGTGTGGATGGCAGGCGACTCAATGCGCTCGCCGTTATCCCTACTGCGACCAGGCGTGCTCACGCACTCTAAGAGAGGTACATCAAACTGCTGGAGGGTGACCCTTGTCTAACTGAGGTCAGTCACCAGGTCAGCGGAGAGAGTGTATGGCAGCCGGGTGGAGCGCTGTAGTTGCTGGTGTCGCCCCCAGCTGTGCGGTATTCCAGTGCGGTGAGTTCCAACGTGGGCAGGAGGAGTGAGCACGCTGCGGCATTTGTACTGACTAGGAGTGCACTCCCAGGGTCTTGGCTAGAGCTGGTGGGTCACCGGGACGGTGCTGCCTCCGAGAAGCTCAGGAGGCAAGGCTATGCAGAGACCCATGCAAAGAAACCCATGGGAGGCGCGCGCCGTCCGGAAAGGGGACATGTTGTGGTCTGTTAGTTAAAGATGTGTGTTATTTTGTGGCTGGCAGATGGGTTGTTTGTGTGTTGGGGAGGTCACCGTGAGGTGGAAGCCTATGGCTATTGGTGATCTTCAGTCTTTGGTATTCTTAACTAACTAGAGATGCAGCACTGCTCTGCCTCAGGGTGGCGCTGTAGCAGACTGGTTCTCCCAGTTGGTCCTTCATAGCCTAGCAACTGTAACTCTGCCCAGGAAACCTCTGAAAAACTCTATAATATGTTGTAGCATATCTTTAAATCTGAAAACCCAAATTCCCAAGAGTTTGGTGGAAAGAGTGAACTGGTGCTCATTCCTCAAACTGAAGACAGAAGAGGAGACGTGTAAGATCTCAATAAATGTGTGGAAGAGCGCATTAGCAAACTAGAAAAGAGCAAGATCCTTCACACACTGGCTCGTCGTGTATGTTACAGTACACGTAAAGAGAACATTCAAAGTATTTAAGAGCAATAAACTCTCAGAATAGACTCAACATTTTGGCTATTTGTGAATAAGTTGGCTTGAATTTTCCAAAATTCACAGTAAAATTATACAAGCGTCACATGAAACTTGTATCAGACATACATCAAAATGAATAATTAAAAAAAAATAACACTGAATTTTGATGTTTTTGGTTTGCATAACCAAGAACCCCAAAGACAAACATTCAGACAACCGTACTTTCTTTCCGATCTGAATAAGATCCCTTGCTCTAAGACACAGCTGTGCTCGTAGTTACCATGGTGAGGTCCATTGGCTGTTGCGATTTGTCATCTCGGTCAGACTCGTGTCCTGCTATGCAGAGGGTTCCTGCAGCCGTAGCCATCGGCGTTACGATTAGAGGTTCAGGTTTCTGTTTCACTCATTCTGCATCTCTCTCTATCATCGCTTTTCACATTCTTACTGTTTGCTGTCATTCCTCTGTGCGTCTGTCTCTCTAGCTGAAGTGCTGCCTGCACCTCTGGGCATGTTGGGACAAACATCACACATCCACATTTTGAATTTGCATATCTGCCAGCATGCAAATCAGGCCAAGACGCCAAACGTTAGCCAAAAATGCTCACTCCAGAAAAAAAAGGGCCTGTATCTTGGGAAATCTGAGCTTGGTGTGGTATATAAACACTGCTAAAGTGTCTCAGTCTATGTGTGGAAAATATGCTGCAAACCTGCCTGTTTTAAAGTCAATGTTTCTGTGATGTCACAAAAGCCAACACAAATATTTAAATAGATCTGCACAGCAGTTTATCTCTACAGTTATCAGGCGTGTTTCAGTCTGGATTGGCACAGCACAGAGCAGTTAATCAGAACAGAGATAAGAGACATATCTCAGTCTTTAAGGTACGGCAACAAGGAAAATGGAAAATGGTCACGTAAAAATGAATTATGACTGTTTATGGTGCATAAGACTACACAAATGTCACAAACGGACCTTGAGGAAAAAATACAATGCATGAAAAAGCAGAAGCAGTGGCGTCATTAGGGGTGGGAATCACAATACCATCATTCTTATCACGATACTTGAGCCACGATATGATTCTGCTGAGATCTGTAAGGATTTGTGAGATGCTAAGTATCGTAATACATTGCGATTTATTTCTTTTTGACGGCAAATGAGCCTTTTCTGCTTTACCTGATGAACTTCACACTTTACTTTCACTTTTTTACTGAAGCAAAACAGAGTTGTGAAGCACCAAATCAGCATCTGTTAGGCTCTCCACCCGAGAGCCGTGGGCCCTGTTTCAATACTGTTTTTAACACGCCCTCGCCCACTTCCACCCACCACGTCACATCTACGTTACACAAGCGGTTGTAGAGCAGAAGGAGTGGATTATTCACACGGAGCGCGCTCAGCCTCGGCAGGATAACCTCAATGAGCTAATCAGCTACTCGTGCAAACTTTGCAATGCAAAACGTTTGGTGGTTTGAGAAGTTTTAAACATAACAGAAAATACGTGAATTTTCGCTTTGCGTGGCTGTAAAGACTGTACATCTCAGTTAGGTCAAACTGTAAAACAACAATGAAGCATTCAGACCATCGATATTTATGGGATTATGGAGGATTAGGTTAGGATCTATTTAAATGCAGGGCATTAACAGAGACAGTAACAAGCCAAATATATACAAAATCATTTTTATAGGGTACTTTCTACTGGAAAGTCTCTGTCCCAAACCCTCACCCCTAAATTTACACTTGTGAAAATAATAGTTACATTTTTTTTAATATTTTTTGATGTTTTTTTTCAAAGTCAGCTTTTTATTCGCCAGCTTCTTGTTCTAGTTTTCCCGTTCCACCTTAAATAGTGCAGCTTCAGGCACTAGAATGTAACTGCTGCCCCATTTAAGGTGGAACGGGAGAACTCGAACAAGAAGCTGACGAATAAGAAGCTGACTTTATGCGCCGACGTATCGCCTCAGATAGAGAACAACACACAACGCAGCATCTAGGTATGTATATCTATTAGTTAGATCCCACTGTTTTGAAGCCAATGTGTCCCAAAGTCTGAAAATCAGTGTGGAACATTAAGAACTGTCACATATGTTCTGCTAATAAGTAAACTTTTTTGTGTTTTAATGAAAATATTATGATTTTTTGTTCGCACGGCTGTTCAAAGCTGTCCTTGCGAGAGATGCACTGGCTAGTGTTTCCGAATTATGCCTCAAATTAGCTGAAACTGACTCTACCGAAACATTCATGATTGTTTTGTTAGTGACGAAATTGAACGTTCAATCATTTATTTCAACAAAATAAACATAATTAAGGCAGAGGGTCACTCAAAGCAAAAGGATTGTAGTCTAAAGTCCAAGTGAGTTAAAAGTCCCAACTGTGTTTTCAACGTTCAGTAGAATGATCCATAAACTTTGATGAAGCCTTTCTTTTTCTTGTTAGCCAACTAGCCTTTAGCATGCTAACTAGCCAGTTCTATAAGCATGTTCACGACTGTAAACCCATATATTTATGGCCATATATGCACATATATCATCAAAGGCTAGGCATATATTTCAAAATATATGTACATATATGCCAGCATGAAATACTGGACATATATGCATAATATATGTCTGATATATGAATCATACATATACTGTGTATCTGATATATGTCTGATACAAACACAGAAATAGTCTTAATGGAGTACAAAAAGCTTGTGTAATGTGAAGCTAGCGTATATGAGTAATGTATTTCATCCATTTATGAACAATGTTTTCTATCATATACTTTTCTGAAATATACATATTAGACAAATATGGTTGTAACTGTTGATATATGCCTGAAATACATGTGCCACAATTAAAAACAACCAGTTTCAAATATGTTAGCCAATATGTCACATATATGTGTACATATTAGAAAATCTAAGCAGTGCTAAATGCTAATATATGCCATATATTTGAAATCCATATATTGCCAAGTTTTCTGTACGGGTAAGCAGCCATGTATAACAGACGGAGTAGTTTGCAACCTAAAGCCGAGCAAATCGAACGTTATGGTTTTGAAATATTAAGCATTTTGAAGTAGTTTGCTGCCACAGCTTATACACAACATAGTCTGCCGTTATTTCCTGGTTTGAAAAGTGATATTTATCAGGTCGCAAGGACTTCTAGGCAAGCTCTGCTGCTGAAGGTGACACTGGTGTTCAACCAATCACTCGCCCCTCCAAAGGCTCGTCTAAGAGCCTTAGTTTCATTAGCTATTAAAGTGACGGACCAGCGTTTAAGATGGCGTCGGTGATTCTCCAGAGGATTAGGCCGAACCCCAGAGAGGAAATGACGAGGACCTGTTGAAATCGGTACTGAAACAGGTGGTTGGGCTGACCAGAAAGACAAGAGGACGTCACAGCACCAACTTACGGACTGAGAAAACAAAGGATTTTACTATCCTTTACAACAACAGCACATCACAACAATGAAGAGCTTCCTTCTGGGAATAAAAGTCCATGTATGAAAATGAAGCTGCAAAAACAGGCTGTTTGGAATTCATTGTTTCTGTGAAGTCATGAGAACCAACTCATTTCCATATTTCCACATATTTCCATATTTCCTGCAGTTTAGTCGGCCATTCATATTGAAATTGTAGAGAGTGTTTCAGCTCTGAGTGCTTTTTGAATGAGGCACAATAGCATTTGTCATACATCAGTCTTAAAGTCACAGTAACAAAAAACAGCCTGTTCAATTCTAAGAGCTGGAAAATAGTCATGTAAAAATGATTTATGGCCATTTTTGGGACCAAATCCATCCAAATGCTGGACCTCAAATAAAAAAATAAAATGAAAAAGTAGGATGTGGGCATTTCAAAGTATAAACAGCCTACTTACTTGCTGTTTTATTTACCTGCCACAATAATCGAAATGCTAGCACCTCTATAGGCTAAAGTTCCCTAACAAGGTGTAATACTACTTATAGCAGCTCTAGCTGCTTTTGAAAGCTGGGAAACTGGAAGAATGTAAGCCATTATTCATAGTTTTTGATTATGTCATTAAGAAGACCACGTCGCCATTTTGGTAGGTGAGCTGTGACTCTGACTGTGCTCTGATAAACTTGACTCAAGTGGCTAAAAAAAAAAGCAGAACAGACCAGAATGACCACTAAAAAGATTTAAAGACATGCAGGCGCTTTAGATGCATCTCCAGAAAATGCTACCCGAAGAAGATTGGCTAGATTGGTGGACTGGATCCGAGTTCAGAACATTCCAGTGTGTTTTAAAATTCAAAATATTTAATAGAAGTGGCTACCAAAGCTGCCAAAGCTCTTAAATAATGAACTTCTATATAAATATTACACTCAAGTCAGCTTCTTTTTCACTGGCTGTATTTTACAGTCTGTTTGATACACTTATTTGTTTTCATTTTTTTGTATGTTTTTATTGTAGGGCGACCTTGAGTTTCTCGAAAGGTGCCCTTAAATAAAATGTGTTATTACTGTTATAATGTTTTGGTTCAGTCTGTTCTGTTCGGATTCACTGCTACTGTTTCCACCACTGACCGGAAACGAGACGTCAACCTGGATGTGTAGCCAACCTTAATGTTTACAAATGGCTCTGGTCTGAATTAGTCCAGCATTCGGTTTAATAAACATTAAAATGATTAATAATCGAACAATAAAATATCAATACATGGGTCTCCATATATACAAACAACATATTGCATTGTATTATGTTGTATTTGCAATAATATGCTGTATTAATTTTCCTGTGATTAGCCAAATCTTTTGATTAGCAGAAGAACTTTATGATGTTTACATACCTGATTATTGGAGTCTGGGCCATTCCCATTCCTTTCTGAATCTAAGACAGACAGACAGACAGACAGACAGAGAGAAAGATTAGCCATGGAGGTGTAACTCTTAAACCTCACAATGATTCAATTTGATTTGTGATTCATTAGGAAATGATTCAGTGAGTAATCAAATCTCAAATGTACGACGGCGTTTTAGGGCCACTGTTAATAAAAATAAAAATAGTATACTTTGAGAATAAAGTCGTAATATTTCGAGAAAAAAGTCATAATATTTCGATAATAAAGTCGTAATATTTAAAAAAAAAAGTTGTAATATTTCGAGAAAAAATGTTAATATTTCGAGAATAAAAGTCGTAATATTTTGAAAATAAAGTTGTAATATTTTGAGAAAAAATTTTAATATTTCGAGAATAAAGTCATAATATTTTGAGAATAAAGTTGTAATATTTCGAGAATAAAAGTCGCAATATTTCAAGAGAAAAGTCGTAATATTTTGAGAAAAAAAGGTGTAATATTTCAAGAAAATAAAAATATTATGACTTTTTTTCTTGAAATATTACGACTTTATTCTCGAAGTCTACTATTTTTATTTTTATTAACAGTGGCCCCAAAACGCCGTCATACAAACGTCACCAAGATCCGAACTGATTTGATTCTTTTTAAAATAGACTGAATACACAACTGTGATTTCATACAGTATTCACACAGGAACAGAATATAGACTATAAAAGATTTATTATTGTTAAAATTCTTGAATTCATTTTGAGAATTATACTTGAAAGTTAACTGAAAAAATATATTTTTTAATATATAAATATATTTTTGGCCCATAAATAATAATATAAATAATATTAATTATTTATGAATAAATAATCCATTGTAATCAACCTTCCAAAATTGATAGAGGAGAATTGCCTGGCACCCTAAGATTCAATTGAACACCTGCACCACACACACACACACACACACACACACACACACACACACACACACACAAGCGTACCTCCTGTGTTCTCCATTGGAGAGTCTGCCGCTGGATTCTCAACTTCTACTGGCTTTGACATTCTGATGTCTACGGCAGAGAAAGAGAGAAGCAAAGACTGAACAATCCGGCAAAACTGCTTGTCTTTTGACCAAAACGCATTTCTTTCAGCAGCTGAAAATGGCTGGATGTTCAGAGATGAAAAAGAAAGAAGAGCCTCAAAGATAAGAAGAGTTTCTAAAGGGAAAGAGAAACTTTCGTCCGTAACATCTCGGGTTGCAGAAGTTCGAAAATTCTCGACCCGCGAGGGAAAGCACATTCAAGTCAAAGTTGAGTTTCAGAGTTGTGACACCTCAGAGTCCGGCACTCATCTCTCTCTGCAAACATGAGTCAGAACAGCCCACCATACTCAAAACATCACTCTCCCCATTACAGCCAGCACAACCAGCCAGCCAGAGAGAAGATGGAGCTGCCACTTTGCTTTGACCACTAAAAGACCAAATCTACAGTTTTCCTCCTTCCCCTAAGTTTAGGGTCAATCGGTCAAGACACGTTTGGTGTCTGAACTTTAGTTTTGCACTGGAGCGATTAAGGCTAATATAGTTTCTAAGCCGTGGAAGTTTATGGCCAACGCCTTCTGAAGGACCCCCAACACGTGCTTCTGTCCACACACTGTGAACACACACCCACACACTCTGACCTAAAGACCTAAATCTGCGCCAAATGCTAATACAGTGCTGTGAATATAACATTTATTTTACATAAGTGCAAATGTAAAATAAGAGCATTTAAGGCTGGTTTAGTGACCGGTCCATTAGGGCCCAGTGGCCTTGAGTAGCCTCAATTCTTAGCCAATCCACGGCAAACATTAGATTAATGAGTATAATGTCTATATTGATGTACAAATGACTAAATAAATACATTTTCAGTTCTAGTTCAAAACTAGAAGAGGAAACTTTTTAAAAACTTTTGGCTTAACAAAGTTGTTGCTATGGTATCCCAGGAGATTGCTAAGTTGTTGCTAGGTGGTTGCTATGATATCCCAGGTGGTTGCTAAGATGTTGCTAGGCCATTACTATGGTATCCCTGGTTGTTGCTAAGGTGTTGCTAAGCCTTTGCCATGGTGTTAGTAGGCTAGTTGCTATGCTATCCCAGACGACTGCTAAGTTGTTGCTAGGCGGTTGCTTTGATATCCCAGGTGGTTGCTAAGGTGTTGCTAGGCCATTGCTATGGTATTCCAAGTGGTTGTCAAGGTGTTGCTAGGCTAGTTGCTATGCTAACCCAAGTGATTGCTAAGTTGTTGTTCGGCTGTTGCTATGATATCCCAGGTGGTTGCTAAGGTGTTCCTAGGCTGTTGCTGTGGTATCCCTGATTGTTGCTAAAATGTTGCTAGGCTGTTGCCACAGTATACCAGGTGCTTGCCAAGGTGTCGGTAGGCTAGTTGCTGTGTTATCCCAAAATAATTGCTAAGTTGTTGCTAGGCGGTTACTATGATATCCCAGGTGGTTGCTAAGGTGTTGCTAGGCTGCGGTATCCCAGGTGGTTGCCAAGGTGTTGCTAGGCAGTTGCTATGGTATCCACAGTTGTTGCTAATGTTGCTGCTAGGCCATTGCTATGTCATCCCAGGTGGTTGCTAAGATTTGCTAGGCTGTGGTATCCCAGGTGGTTGCCAAGGTATTACTAGGCTAGTTGCTATACTATCCCAGGTGATTGATAAGTTGTTGTTAGGCTGTTGCTATAACATCCCAGGTGGTTGCCAAGTTGTTGCTAAGCAGTTGCTATGCTTATCCAGTTGGTTGCTAAGGTGTTGCTAGGCCACTCTTATGGTATCCCAGGTGGTTGCTAAGGCATGTGTATAGATGTGTATTAGTATGTATGTGAATCATGTAATGAAACATGTAATGAAAGTGTGAGGGACGACTTTTGTGACATAATTTATGACAGATTTGGACTTTATCACACTTTGTCGCCGGTTCAATCCCCTCAACTGACAGTATGTGACTGAAGTGCCCTTGAGCAAGGCACCTAACCCCCAACTGCTCCCCGGGCGCCGTGGATAGGGCTGCCCACCGCTCTGGACAAGTGTGCTCACTGCCCCCTAGTGTGTGTGTGTGTTCACTAGTGTGTATGTGGTGTTTCACTGCACGGATGGGTTAAAAGCGGAGGTCCAATTCCGATGTGTTCAGACACAGTTGGCTAAAAAGTTTCATTTCATTTTCATTTCATTCACTATTCCTGTATCGGATCTACGATTGTGCAAAGTTTCTTGGTTCTAGCTCAAAAACTATAACCTGTGAAAATAGTACAAAAAAAGCTCCCAGTTGCTCATTTTACATTCACCTGTTCATCATTCTGGACACATCTAATATTTCCTCCTACAAACTATCTGTAAACTGTAACGTTGTAGAGTCTTAGAATCGTATTAGAATCATTTTATACATGTTTCTGCCAAAAAATTGTTTTGGTAACACATACATACGCACACACACACACATACATACGCACACACACACACATACATACACACACACACACACATACATACACACACACACACACACACACATACGCACACACACATACATACACACACACACACACACACACACACACACACACATACATACATACGCACACACACACACATACATACACACACACACACACCCACACACACACACACACACACACACACACATACATACGCACACACACAATTTGCCCAGAAGGTCCTTGTCAAAATTCAATTGATTAACATTACGTCATCATTTATCGTAACACTTCCTATTTTTGTACACTGAGGCCCTTGGGACAGCCCCAGCAGTGTCCCTCTGAGACGGGGTGTGTTGGGCTGCAGCTTCAGAGAGAAAACATGGTCACACTTTATTTGAAGGCTACCTACATAAAGTATTCCTAACATATACATGAGCATTGAATAACTTATAGAAAGCAAAACTTCAGAATTTATAAACAGCTCATGCCATAATTAAAAGATGGAAAAAGGCATGTATTGTAAAAGACACTGTATTGACATAAGAGGCCTTAAACTAAAGTGACACATTTGTATGACGCATCATTTCCACATAACGGAACATATAAGGCAGAGGTCCACACGCTTAAAATGATGGTTCTTCAAGGGTTCTTTAGAAAAGACAACAAATCTAAATGGATTTGCACGGTGAAATGGTTCTTCAGACTGATGGGGAATGTTTGTGGGTTCTATATAGCACCAAAAAGGGTTTTTTTACAGTCATAAGCTTGAGCTTGAACCCTTTTTGGTGTATGTAGAACAATACACAACACATTCTCCATCAACCAGGAGAACTATTTCACCATGCAAAGAACCATTCAAGCATATACCATATATCGCTCATATCTCCAAAATGACAACTTTACAGGAGAAGGAAAAACCTACTTTATTTTTAATGTAAGTCAATGGAACCAGACTTTTTTCCAAGTCATTTCAGGTCATTTCTGTTGGTCCATTCATCATGAAATTTACACACAATATATAGGACCACAAGTATTTTCAAATTATGTCAAAAACTGAAAAACATCAAAAATGGAGATATAATATATATATATATATATATATATATATATATATTATATATATTATAATAACTATAATAATAACTCAGAGTAAACTTGTTTTTGGTACTTAAGCGCATTTAAAAGCAAGTATTTTTGAAAGTTCAAAAACAAAGACTTCAAAATTCATAAAACAAGGACAAACGATAACTGACATAAGCTGTTCATAAATATTAAAATGTTTTTTTTTAATTCACGATTTAACGCTTATGCATGCGTTATGAAGTTCCTAGGTAGCCGTCAAAAAAATACAACACTGCCGACCACTATTACATCTTCAAATCAATCAACCACAACCTCCGCAATACATTTAATAGCAATTACTTAGTAATCCAATTAAAGTTTCAATTAAAAGGCTTTAATTGAAGATGTAATGTATTTATTTATATGCTCTGTAAACAACAAAATGCACACAACTGTTCTTTATAAAAACTGGGCCTCTTCCTTTAAAGAAAACACACTCACAGATGCACACACACTTTCTCATACAGACACACTTACTTCCCTTTTGTGAAATATATGCAAATAAGCCCAACGACTGACTAATTATATCAGCCACCTGCATATTAAACTCACTATCTGTCTTTCACTTTTCTCCCTTCCTGGTCGGCCCTTACGATAAGAAGACGAGATGATAAACCACAGCAGGGCTCATCCGCACATTAGCATTATCATGATGCCAGAATTTTGACTTAAGTGCTAATAACGAATCAATAGTACAGTAGAAATACCCACTGTGGACTGCACTGAAGCACTGAAGCCAGAGTTCTTACAGCTTAATTAACCTGATTTCAATCCCGAGAGAACATGTTTAATGGAGATGTTTAATAAATCATCACACTGCGTTAAAAGCTGATCTCGCATAATATTCATCACATTGCATTGAAAACGAACTCAATACAGTGCTTAGAAACATTATTATTTTTTTTATATGCATTTTTTAAATTAATGTTTATTTTGTTGTTTTCATTCATATATATATATATAAATATATACATATATATATATATATATATACATACACACACACACACACATATATATATATATGTATCACTGTTGTCATAACAAAACCTTTTATCTCCAAAATCTTAACTTTACAGGAGAAGGAAAAACCTACTTTACTTTTAATGTAAGTCAATGGAACCAGACTTTTTTCCAAGTAATTTTGGGCCGTTTCCTTTTGTTCAACCGTCATGAAATACACACACAATGTAAAGGGCAGCAGGCATTTTCAAATTATGTTAAAAACTGAAAAACAACAAAAATAAAGATACAAGGTATTGTTCCAACAGCAGCGATATATAGAAATTACTGTCCAATGAAAAACATGTATTTTTTGTGATTTTTACTTTCTTGTATCGTTTGAGCTCTGCAGCTGTCCTTCACATTCTGTGAGAATTTCATGATGCGTGGACCAATAGAAATACTCCAAAATTGCTTCGAATAAAATCTCTTTCCATTAACTTACATTGAAAGTACAGAAAGTTTTTGCCCTC